CTTTCCTCTATTCTGTTTTATGATTATTTAAAACATAATTATGCACTGTCATGTAAATGTCTTTCTTGTTTGAAAGTTTTTATAATTCCACTGTTTTGGAAGCCTTTTCTGTATAACAGGAAGATAAAAGTTTGGTCTGCTTCCTAAGCAGTTAATATTTATTCTCTTAGATAAAAGAAGCCTAACTGCTAACTGTTGACCGTTATATTTTGTGACATTTGGATTCATTGTTTAGCTATACTCATATGAGTAGCCTTCTCTTTTTAAAGACAGGGTCTCACTAAGTAGTTTAGGCTGGTCTTGAATTCACTATGTAGCTCAAACTCATGATGATCCTTCTGCCTCAGCTTCTCCAAGAGTGCTAGGATTACAGGTGTGCACCTCTATGCCCGGTAACTGCTTAGCTGTCTTGTTATCAAATCCTCAAACAGGAACTTGGAGGTACATAGTCATCTGTTTTCTTTTGCTATCACAATATACCTGATCTGAGATTGAACAAAGACGACATATATAATTTCTTGTCATGTTGGAAGCCAAAGCTCCAAGCAGAGGCCATTCTTCTTGGACTCTGATGGTTTGGTGGCAGATGGGAAGATCACAGGTGAGCCAGGGGCTCAGGACCTGGCCTACTTTTTTGAAATGCTAACTTGCTCCTGTAAGACTTGGGCTTATGAGTTCCCAGCACATCCTGCCCCCCACAAGGCAAAGCTCCAGGACTTCCTTCAGAGCTTCGTAATCATGGTGAGAGGCAGATGCACAGCAAATAGCTTTGTAAATCCAGGTGCCACCATGTGGACTGTTGCATTTGCCTTTATGAGAAATGGAAATCGAAAATACATGCAAGTAGCTCATAAATATTCCTGTAAATAAGAGCAATAGAAAGACTGACGCATACAAAAGTATCTGAGGGTAGTGTTCTCATGATAAGAGAAAAGAACAAGGAGACAAATTTTCTGTGGCCACAAGGAGACTCCTATATCTGGAAAAAATAATCAAAACAAGATATTCAAAGGAAATGAATAACTCAGAAGCAGTAATATGTAAAAGAACTACAGATATAGAGCAAAACAATTAGAAATGAGACCAAAATGTGGTATCACACAGGAAGGCTGCTCCAGCTTTTGAGGCACCTCTGGAAATACGCGAGCCAGAAGACACCGAGTCTCTTCACGGGGTAGAGACAGAGTCACAGCTGGAGTAGTAACACTCTGTCTGGGAATCTTGGCAACAGGAAGTGGTATTCCAAGTGGAAGCAGCACAGAGAGAGTGGTAAGAGGGCTCAGGTGGATGGGGAGAAGATGCCCAGAGGAAGAAAGCTAAGTCAACCCTGGAGAGACAGGGGTGTTAATTACTCAGCTAGGGGATAAGAGCCAGAGGGAGGGGCAGCCCAGGGAGGTTAGCAGAGGGACAAGAGCAACATTCACAAGGTCCATTCAGATGCTATCTGAGCGCCCGGGAGTGGTGTGCGCAGCAGAGATGTTTACTGTGCAATTTTGTCTTCCAGGAGTTTGAGTATTCTAAAGATCTCATGTATTCTTTTTCCTCTTATTCCCTTTCCTGCTTATAGTTTTTATCCTCTCATTTGAACCCTAAGTCCCGTGTTCCTTCATGTTGATACCTTTTATGGATCATCTGTGGATTCCTGCCCACTTAAATATACTAGCTTTAAAATTTATGTTTCAGCCTTAAGGCAGCAATCATTTTGCAAACACACAGGAAGCAACCTTTTCCTCACAAATTTAACTTGTTGTGATCCATAGGGATAACCCATTTTCAAGAGCTGTAGAATATATTTCTATAACCACAATTCCCCCCTGCCCTGTTAAAGGTACCCAAAACACAGCTTTCAGCGGCTCATTTACAGTGTCTTATCATGACCTCACTATTTAATTAACTCTTTCCCTGGTGAAAAAGTTTGCATTAAAGTGAATTTTGAACTAGTTTGGCCATAAATAATGTTTCTAGGGCTGTAGGTGGAAACAAAATCTCATTGTGGAACTGCCTTCTTTGAAGAGTGGCGTTGCGTCAGTGAAGCCATCTTTTAAACTTTATAAACAACTGTTAAAACTAGAAACGGAGAGATGTTCTGGAAAACAAGTGCCTTTGTACCTCCTGGTACAGAACAGATCACCAGACCAGACGGGCACACATGGATCCCAACGTCCTGGCTCCAGGGAGGCCCAAGGCCCTGAGCCTGCAGTTCCTGAGTCCTTGTAGGAGAAACCTTCTCAGAAGCAGGCATTCAGCTCTCCAAGTTCTTTCCAGAACTCGACATTGCTTCCAGGATGTGTGAATGGTGACGTGGGAGAGTTGGTCTCAACACTATAAACAGAGGAGCATGTCTTAATAGAGCTTACGCTTTGGATAAATATTAAATTTGCATCTAGCTAATTGATTTTATCTCTTTTTGCAATTTTCCTTTTCATTTTTTTCTTCTTGACTTTCTGCTTATGTTATTATTACTAGGTGTGGGATAGTGTGTGGTCTGCACAATGGTATAGGTTGTATGTATTCTGAGAAAAGCAAGAGGTTGGCCTTTGTTCTGTGCCTGACCCACAGGGAGCCTGAGGTCCTTTCTGCATGGAAGAACAGGCCCTGCCTCACAGCGATTGTAGAGCTCCATGCTCCTGGGGGTAAGGACCACTGGGGTTGAGCCCTTGCACTTGGAGTCAAGTATCTGAATGGACAGTGGGCACTGAAGGTGCTCTACTGCTTGGATGTGGGATCACAGCCAGAGAGACAACCACTGGTCCTGATTTTACAGAATGCGTACCTCTGTAAACCACGCAGACATTTCTCTGGTTCCATTGCATTCCTAAAAACCAGTCGGTGGATCGTGCACCTTGAGAAGCATGTAGGTATCACTTGGAAAGAGTCCATCATTGTGAGTTGCTCAATTCTCATTTACCGTTATTTAGAAATCAGGTAAAAACACTGAAGCCTGGAAGTATAGATATTGATCTGTCTGTCTATCTTTCTGTCTGTCTGTACTATGGCTGTGAAGATGGAGGAAAAATACAAGGAAGCAAAAGGGGGAAAATTATATCACATGCCTGAGCCAAGTTCATGTCTCTCTAAGGATTCTCTCAGTGCAGAAGCACCGGGCCAGAGGAGCACTAGGGGAGGAGCTGCGGCCCTGCCCATGAGCCCTGACTAGGTACTGACCCAGGACTGTGATGCCAAAGGCTACAGGTCCATCCACCACTTGTAAACTGTGTTTAACATATGCATTTGCTCAACACACAAACATACACACATATGTACACACATACGCATGCATTTACACTGCATGTGTGTACTGCAGTTTATTATAAAATTGAGAACTAGAGAGAGAAAATGAAAAATATTTCTATAAATGACATAATTAGAAAATTACTGTTAATGCTTTTTCCAGATTTTAATTTAATTTAATCATGATCATCTGTTTTTTGTCCTTTGTTTATTTTAAAATTGAAAACAGCAAGAAATATGGCATGTATCTCTATAGGCTCTGTATACGCTTTATTCTAAATATATTTTAAGATCTACAGAGTGGAAATTTCTTACTTCTAAGCAGTTGACACTTCCTTGAAAAGTATGTGGAAATGGATGCAGTTAAACTATGGCTGTGCTTAATGCAGAGTTTCTTTGTGTTTCTGGACAACTTTTATCTTTCGAAAGCCTCTCTTCAGAAATTGTACAAGAAAAACACAATGCATGGTAAATATGTCTTCATATTGTGAAACAATATTTATTTAGATCCACTCTTGATTTTCCATTTCATCATAATGAAACCTTTCTCGGACCCAACTGCCCCACCGAAAACAGGGTTTCAATTGCAGCTTGCAGAAGTGGAACATGAATTCTAATGTCAGCTCGTGACTGCTTTGAAGGAGACCATGTGGCCGGCAGGAGAGCTCTGCTAGGTCAGCACGATATACGCTTACTGTTCGCACCATGAGTGTGACTGGTAGGGGATGGACAAAGGGACGTGTCCTCCTTGAACAAAGCCTTTCAGGAAATGAGGGAAGGAGGGGCACAAAAACCTAACAGCCTTTGCGTGGGAGGGTCAGCAGTCTATGGACTGCTGCGTTTCTCACACAACCTGGGCTCCTTCAGTGAAGTTCTCTCCACTGCCTCGGAGCGGGGTGGCAGGTTTAACCTCAGAGCCCTGGATGCCAGCGATGCAGAGGAGCGCGTCTTGCCCTGGCCTGCGAGGGTTTCTCAGGACCCCAGACTGTCACCAGGAGCCCGCGGCCTTGTCCTCTGGCTCGGTGTCCTCTAACTTTCTCCGAAGATGTGAAGCAGGTACTGAAACCTTGCTTATTTCTTCACCAACTTATTGATGTTTATGAAAGTGATAGAAACATGCTACACATAAAGCTTCGAGCTTCTTTAAATCACCACTGGCCAGAAAAGAACTCCAGGCTAGGGATACCTACAGAGTTCTAATACTACTCCTTGTCACAAAATCAATCTTGTCCATATTCCTCATTTCCAAATTCATGTTTTTGATGGATAAGAACTAAAATAGTGCTTACAAATTTGTGAAGGCTTTTTTTTTACAACTAATACATATAACACATTTTAGAATTATTGAACTAATGAAAATTAAGTTATTATTGTAATAATCATAAAGAGATTCCAAAATTACTTTGCCAACGAAATATTACTTGCTTCTGAAAGGTATTTACTTAAGTTTTCAGATTGTGGGATTTCCTTACCTTACTGCCGAGGGTAACCCGCTCCTTAGCTCTGCTCAGGGGAACGCAGGCGATCCATACACGGGCCCTGCAAGAGCTATGAAGAACACCACCTGCGTCCCTGCCGTGTTACAGTGCTCACACTATGAAGTAGCTACCTGCACGAGAGTGAAACTAGAGAACAACTTCCACACATCTGAAGCTTTTAATGGAATTTTACAAATGGACAAAAGTCAGTTTGTGGAAAACGGTTTGCTCCAGTAGAGTGGCTGAGCTCCTCTGGAAAGGGATACATTTAGCTTAAATCTCTGTGTCGCCTTATTTCTTGCTTCGAATAAATCTGTACAGGCATGTGCACAGTATCATGATCCCGATGACGTAGACCACACTCAGGGCCGGCACCCACCCTTTTGCACGCTGAGACCTGGAGGTCTCTTGGTTGGATCTGGAGTTGGTGGAGTTTGGAGACCTTCGGCTAGCATGCAGGACCTTACTGGTGGCAGGAGGTGGGGTGTCTTCACAATGTGGAACTGGGGGCTGCCACGTGCCATCAGCCGCACAGACAACTGTGTCACTCCCGTGAAGGAAGAAGCCCTGATGGCACTCGAACTTAACCCTGGCTTTGTAGTGGTGCTTCACTCTGAATCCTGCTGTCTGTCTCCCATTGGGTACTACAGGGTGTGGACAGCTGACCACCTTACACTCAGGGGGCGGGCTGCTCCACAGGTCCTTGCCGAGGCAGTAGAGCCTGCGGTCGCCAACCAGTGAGAGCTCCTCCTCTCCAGGACTGCGATGACAAGCATATGTGACGACCTCCAGATACTCAAACACATCCTTGTGACGCGAGTAGCCCCCATTTGGTATGTTTGGGGGTGGCTGACACAAAACCTTCTCACACACTGGGGCTCTGCCGCTCCACTTCACATCTGATCCATTCAGTAGACAATGGAGAATTTCATTTCCAGTTAAGTAAAAACCATCATTGCAAGAGAATTGTATTTGTGTTCCAAACTCGTAACTTTTGTTTAGTAGAATTACCTGTCCATTAACAGGATCCACCTGGAGATCACATGATTTTTTGTAACAGGCATCCATGGACACAGGTGTCCACTTACCAGAAGGACCGCAAACTGAAAGGGTGATAAACACAGGGCGACTCAGGAATCCAGGTTTGCACCGATAGTTTACATGGTCCCCAAGAACGTACATGTATTTGAAAGGGCCCATGAGCTCCATGCTGGGATATGTTGGGGGCCTTCCACAGTTGCTAGAGCTTACAAAATGCAGGAGCCCGAGGCCCAGCAGCAGGAGCCAGAGGAGGCCCTGGGAGGGAAGGAGGCTGTCGTGGTGCTGGGGACACGCCATGAGCAGCAGGACCAGCAGAACCTGTGAAGCAGCACAGGGCAGGCCCTGCGGAGCGGAGTGTGAGCATCAGGGTCACAGTGCTGGGCTGAGGCTCAGGGAGGGCCTGGAGGATGCAGCACGAGTGGGTGTGGCTAGGCTCCACCCAGAACATCACAAGAGCAAGAGCAGGGTCAGGTACTGAGCCTGGGCCTGCATTGTTGATGTAACCTCTTGGGGGAGCTGAACTCACCCACCTGTGTATGCTCCCTGCCTGCATCCTGGTGGTTCTCTTCAGCATGGAGCCCGGGATGAGACAGGACCAGGTGGCCCAGCAGGGTTTGCCTGGAACAGATCTCTGGGCAAATGGGTGTGGGCCAGCAGTGTGGTGGAGGAACCCAGAGAATCCAGTGAGGACCTGGAAAGCCTGAGATGGGGAGAGAAGGGCCCCTGAGTGATGCTTTCATAAGGCCAGCAGCTGTGTGCCCTGGGGCCCACATCCCAACGTGGCCTTGTTAGCAGTGGATTATAAAGGTGGTCAGCTGGGTGCTGGTGCATTCATCAGCCTCTCCTGGTCTTGCAGGTCACTGCAGGTTTGCTCCCTGCCTGGCCTCCTGGGAATGCCTCCTCCAAGGGTGAGCAGGGGCAGGGGAAGAGGGGGAGCCTGCAGGTGGTGTGAAGTGATGTCTTCCCATGCCCCAAAGTAGGCTGGGGCTGGGTTTGTGCATTCACAGTACCCCTTGCCCTGGCCTCCCCTGTCTGCATCTCAGGGTGTTGATCCTGGGATTCTTCCCCATGTTGGGGTGTTTATTTCTTTGCTGTCTTCCTCCTCGGGATCCTGAGGTGCAGGTGCCTGAGCTCAAGATGCCTCTAGCTTTTCCTGATGACTGTGTCCTGGTCCTCCTCACCTGGAGCCTGAGGCCATTCTAGTGAAGGGCAGCTGGGCTGCCTGCTCTTCCTCTTGCTGGGAAAGCTGAAGCAGGAGGCAGAAAGGGTGGTGGCCTGAGCACTTAGAAAGTTAGCAAGACGTTGCCTCAAAATAAAAAGTAGAAAGTGGGCAGATGGTCCTGGTTTCATTTCCCAGTATCCCCCTAAAAGAATAAAAATCTTCTACTCCAGCATATCACTGGCAGTGTTTTCCTTGTCTTCCAAACATGTACAGCCAAACTCAGTCCCCATGTTTTCTTTCATTTTACATAGATTACTGACATCCAGACAGGTATAAGCCACACAGGGAGCATTGAAGCTTGTGCAGTCCACAGAGCGTAAGTTAGAAGCAGGGTCTCCAGCTCCCAAGCCCCCTTCCCCTGTCTCTCTTTGCTTCCTCCCTCCGGGTAGGAGCTCAGTGTCTCTGTCTCTGCAGCAGCTGTTGTCATGGTAAACAAATCTCCCTCACTGGTTACTTGTTTTCTTTTTAGAATCAGCCTGGTGGTTTTTTTCCTAGAAGCATCTCTTGGAAGCCTCACAGTTAATCATGTGACAGTGCATCTTTGGCTGTGGCCTTTCTGATCTGTGCTCCATCTCCCTTGTTGCCCCTACACTTTGGCTGCTTTCACGAGCGAGCGTGTCACAGGTACTGGAGAGCTGTCGCTCCTTGGAGGGCCATTCTTTTCTTCCCCTCCTCCCCCAGTTTTACAAAGGAATCCCTGACAGGCAAAATTAGACATATGTACAGACACGATACCGTTTCAGAGAGCCCATGTAATAATTGCCATAATGATGTCATTAAGATGTCTGTCACCTCACAGTTATCACAGTTTAAATTTTTATAATGAAAACATTTACAATTTACTCCAGCAAATCTGAGTATATCATACAGTATGATTAATGGTAGTCACTGTAGTATAAGTAGATTACCAGGCTTTTTGTTTAAGATTGGGTAATATTTACCTCCGTGTGTGTGTGTGTGTGTGTGTGTGTGTGTGTGTGTGTGTGTGTGTGCAGCTTTCCCTTTTCTTGTCCATCAATGGATACTTGGGAACAAGAGTGTTAGATAAAGCCATAGCTCAGTTTTGAGCTTTTGGAAACCCGCTGCCACATTTTCCTAATTTTGTACTTATTTACCACGCATGGGACAGCAGAAGCTTGTCATCCTCCCACTTCCTTGCCAGGGATGCTTCCACTGTGAGTAGGAATTTGCACCTGAGAAAAGATATGGAAGCACATTTTTATGTTCCATTTCCCTGAGTTTTATTAACGATGAGAATGTTTAAATATTTCTTGTCTTCTTTTTTAAGAAACATATTTTTACCTTCTTTGCCTATTTTTGGTTTTGTTATTCTCTTGTCATTAAGTTTGCTTATATACTTTGGATTAATCATTCAAAATGGGTGATTTGACTCCCGCACCTTGCCATCGGTGTGCAGATGAGGGGCTGAGCAAATCTGGGGCGCCTGCATCAGCCTCCCCTTGTGTCTGGAGGACTGTGGATATCTCAGCAAGCAGGGGAGGATCGCAGGTTCCAGAGGCACTGCAGCCTGTGGTGAGTGCTCAGCGCACTCTGCCCAAAGCCCAGACTGTTTGGGACCCTCCAGGCTTCCAGGTGCAGTGAAGTGGAGAAGTGGGTTTGAGGCCTCTACATCCGCCTCCTCATCCCGGCTGCGCTTGGAGAGCTGTGGAGCTTCCAACAGGCAGGTGGGCGCACAGTGTCCCTGAGGCCCAGCTTATCTGGAACTGCAGAGTTCTGAACAGGCAGAGGAGGGCCATTGGTTCTGCAGGCCCAGTGGCTTGAGGTAACGGGGTGCCAGAGTCTCAGGAGCTGCAAACATAGAAGGGGATTTCCAACAGACCCTGAGGAAGCTTTCAAATAACACTTGAAATACAGAAATATAGGAAAATGACAAAACGAAAGACGAAATTACAACCTCAAACCTCCAGCCCATCTCAAGAAACCCTAGGAGCAATGTATATAGAAGAAAATATATGCCATTCACCTCAAATATCAGACACAATAGCTACTGAAATTAACAAGCAACTCCAGGAAGCTTTAAAGAAATTCAAACTCAAAATAATCTCCCAGGTAAAAGAAGAAATTATAAAAGAAATGAAAGAGATTCTGAATATATCTAAAGAAAACACAGATAAAAAAATTGGAAGAACTAAACAAAAAGATAGAATCCCTAGACGAGCAATATAAGAAACAAACAGAATACATAATGCAGATGCACAGATATACAGGAAATAAAAAACTCCACTGAAAGTTGTAAAAACCACCTTAATGAAAGTGAAGATAGAATTTCAGACCTTGAAGACAGGATTGCAGCTAGTGAACAGGAAAGGAAAGATCTTTTAAAAATAGCAAGGAATCAGGAAACAACAATTCAACAACTGCAAGATGATGCAAAGAAAAATAACATAAGAATGATAGGGATTAATGAAAAAGAAGGAGACAACATAAAGGATGTCAAGAGGATATTGAGAGAAGTAATAGCTGAAAACTTCCCAAGCATGAGATCAGAAACCGACATCAGGATCAGGGAAGCATATAGAACTCCAAATAGTCATAACCAAAATAAAACTACACCCAGACATATAATAATCACCATCCCAGAAATCCAACACAAGAATAGATTATTAAAAGCTGTCAGAGAGAAAAGACAGATCACTTATGAAGGAAAACCTATCACAATCACAACAGACTTCTCAGCACAAACAATAAAGTCAAGAAGAGCATGGAGTGAAGTATTCCAGATCCTAAAGCAAAATGATTTCCAACCTAGACTGATGTATCCTGAAAAACTATCATTCAAAATTGATGGTGAAATACAATACTTCCATGACAAAGGACAGCTGAAGAACTTCATGAACACCAAACTGACCCTGCAAAAAAATATTGAAATACAGTTTAGATACACAAAGGAAAAAGCCACTAAGCAAAGCAGATAATTAAACACAACAAAAAGATAAAGATGCAACAGCAGAGAGATAACATGTCAACAATAAATCAGCATTTAACAGTAATAACCATTAATGTAAATGGTCTCAATGCACCAATCAAAAGAAACAGACTAGCAGAATGGATCAAGAAACAAAATCCAACCATATGCTGTTTACAGGAAACCCAGCTAAACCAGAAGGATACTCACAGACTGAAAGTCAAAGGATGGAAAACAATACTTCATGCAGCAGGAATCCAAAAAAGGCAAGAATAGCCATTCTGTTTGCAGACAATGTGAACTTTAAACCAACAATGACCATAAAGGACAAAGAAGGTCACTACATACTCGTAAGGGGAAAACTCCAAGAGGAAGAGATAACTATCTTAAATATATATGCACCAAACTCCAGAGCACCCAGTTATATAAAACAACTAAATGAAAACTCAAATTATCAGTAACACAATTGTAACAGGAGACCTCAATATGCCATTGACACCAAGAGACAGATCAACCAGACAGAAAATGAGCAAAGAAATAACAGAACTGAATCACATCTGCGAACAAATGGATTTGATAGACATATACAGAATGTTCCACCCAGCAACATCAGAATACACATTCCTCTCAGCAGTACATGGATCATTCTCTAAAATAGACCATATATTGGCTCACAGAACATATTTAAACAAATGCAAAAGAGTTGAAATCATCTCTTGCATGTTATCGGATCATAGCACTCTGAAATTAGAAATTAATGATAAAAGATACTGCAAAAATCACGCAAACACATGGAAACTGAATAACACACTCTTGAGTAATCAGTGAGTCACAGAAGAAATTAAAGAAGGAATTAAACAATACCTAAAAGAAAATGAAAATGCAGATACAACTTACCGGACTGTGGGATGCAATGAAAGCCGTCCTGAGAGGAAAATTTATTGCACTGAGTTCCCACATCAGGAAAACAGAACGAATACAAATAAATAACTTGATGCTACACCTCAAACAGCTAGAAAAAGAAGAGCAAGTCAAGCCCAAAGCCAAAAGAAGAGAGGATTATAAAAATCAGAGCAGAAATCAATGCAATAGAGACTAAGAAAACAATCCAAAGAATCAACGAATCAAAGAGTTGGTTCTTTGAAAGAA